TCAGCCCAGAGGTTGTTTCAGGGTTTAATCTGTGAGTTAGCCATGCCCTGACTTAGATCAGCCCAGAGGTTGTTTCAGGGTTTAATCTGTGAGTTAGCCATGCCCTGACTTAGATCAGCCCAGAGGTTATTTCAGATTTTAGATCAAATTTGAGGCTTTGAGGTTTGAGGGTCAAAAAAGGTTAACAAAAAACCTGATGGTAACGAACCTAAGTGTCTGACCTCTGATGATGAATCATTATTGAAGTTTGAAATACTTAGTTATCAAATAGATGACATACCTTTTCTCTCTCTGGTATACAGGCAGGACGATGACATCTGGGTCATCAATCCTTGTTGGCAGTTCATATCTATGAGAAGGAGTAGAAAAAAATACAAAAAAGTTTCTTTGTTGTTGTTGTAAAATAATTGCTTCTAACTGATCTCTTACAGGTAGACAGTAGGCACTCATTATGGTGTCCATTGAGTAAAACAATTTAATAAATAATATCTGCATCAAATGAATGTAAGAGAGTGTGAAGTGTAGGCAAGTGATTTCAACACCTGTAATATTATTTTCAATAAAATAAATTTTAGCTAGAAAGTTAGTCTCACATACACAAAAATTTCATCCCTATCGAGAATTGAAGTAATTGAATCCCTGGTTTTGAAGACTTTGTGGATACGATGATTGTACACATCACACATAATCATCTGGAAAAAAGGGGAAAAAAAGAATGGATGAGATGGAATGAAGGAATAAATGGAAAATGAAATGAAATGATATATGACAGAGGTAACAAACCTTTTCTTTTTGAACCTTTGTCTCCTTGGAAACTACCTCAAGGAAGTCACTGATGTTACCCATTTTAGGGAAGGAAAGCTTGTACTTTAATTAAAACAAAATAAATGAAAATTCAAAAATAATGTAAAGATATAATGGAATGTCAAAATGGATGGGTGGATGACATACATGGATGGATGGATAAAATACATGGATGGATGGATGGATGGAATACTAATATCTCATTCATAACTTATTGTTAAGAGTCCTTTGATCATATCCATATGGAAAAGAGCGCCATGTAAAACCATTTAAAAAATCATAAATCATAAAGGAGATTGTATGGGAATAGATGCAGTGAATAAAATAAATGGATGGGATAGAATACATGAATAGGTGGGAAAGATGGATGGGATAGATGGAATATACAAATGGATGGATGGGAATAGATGGTGGGGATATTGAATAGATGAGACAGAATGAATAAATAGATGGGATGGATGAATGTGATAGATGACACAGATGGAAGAATGGATAAGTTGGTAGGATAAGGTGAGATGGAACCCAGAATGGGATAGAAAAGAATGGGAACATAAGATGGGATATGTGAGTGTATATTTTTCTTACTTCTTACCAAGATAGGTTTTTCCACGGGATCATCTTTGAAAAACAAGAATTCTATCTGTCTTTCCTTCTTCATGGGCAATGGAAGTGATAGATAGCAAAATGGATCAAATGTTACAGAAACCTGAAAAAAAAAAAGAAATGAGTTTAATTATATTACAGTTTCTACAGTACTGCATGACAGTAGCACACAGCTAGTGCTATGACTAGACAAGTTTGAAAATATTTTCTATGATGTTTCTAAATAATGTTTGAAATCTAGGATTGTTGATCATCTATACCAATGCCCTTAACATTTCTAGACAGACATATTTTATTTGGCGTTTTGTACATAATTGCACATCAACTTAGTTCCAAATAAGTTACGAATATATATGTATGTTTATGTATGTGCATAATATCTATATTCACATATTCCACACATACACGTCATATGTACATATATATTCTGTATATATAAATGTTCATATAATTATTTCGATAAAATGCGTTACTAATCCTAATCATTTCTATGTGTTGTTCCAGAAATTATTTTCTGAGAGTTGTGAGGGGGTGGGTGGGTGAATGTTTTCTGGGCTGTGCGGTATATCCATATGGCTATTGATTTATTATTTATGAGATTAATAAACAACCAACCTCATCGCATTCTGGACAAACAAGAGTGGATTTGAACTGTGCATGGAAGATGTCCACAATGATAGAATCATTTCTTTGTCGGTGGTTGTACCATGTTTCTTGGGCTACGACCTGATAGTAGAAATAAAGGATAAGTATGGGCAAAATGATTTTTTTAAATGATTTTAAATAGAGTATTACCTGAATCAAAGAAACCAAAATGAAATAGAATGAAATAAAATGGGATAAAATGGGTTAAAATGAGATGAGAAATAAGGGAGGGGTGGGTGGGATATAGGAAGTGACAGGGACATGAAGTCATGAAATTATGGGAAGTGGAATAGAGTGGAAATTTATAAAATGGCATGGAATGGATAGGGATAGGATAGAATGGAAAAGGATAAGAAAAAAGATGGAATGGAATATAAAATGATTGGACACGATGGGATAAGATGGAATAGAAGAGGGAAAAACAAGATGTGGTAAAATAGGAAAGGATAGGGAAAGATGGAAGAGGATAAGATAAAGGTTAACCCTATACAGTGTGATGATACAATGATTCGAAGATGCAAGTAGTTTTAAACATCTTCAAAAACAATCATTTACCTTGTCCGGTCTACCATTGGCATCTTGAATCTCAATATAAGGTTTCTTCTTAATACGATTCAAATCCTCATGCAACCCATCCAGAAGAAATGCCAGTAATTCCTGGGAATCCTGTTGCTGGTACCCAGAAAACTGGGGTGCAAATCTCCCAACTTGTGTTTTAAAATTCCTTGGGACAACAGAAGAATACTGGCCAGACCACAACTGTGCTAAAAGATCGGCAAAAGCCTTGGCTATTTCTCCTCTCATTCCTAAAGGATTATCTACATTGAGTTCTGATTTGTATTGATCAGAGAGAAAGTACTTGGTGAGCATCATGGTGTTGCTTAGACACTGCAGCCCTGAGTTCATAAAACATGTGTTTCCTAAGTTGGCAAGTCCAGTTAGACCAGGTTTGTTGTGGATTGTCTTTCTATCACTGCCATAAGAGCTACCCCAGTAACCTGAACTAAAGCTGCCAATGTGAAGAAAAGAACGCTGTTGTCAATATAAAAAATGGATCATAAATATTGGATTTTCAGCAGTTTAATTAAAATTTGCCTGAGAAAATCAGTTGTGTAAAATTTTCTCAATGATTACATGTGAACACTTTTCCAACTATGGGAGGGGTGGGGGATGGTTAGAATGGTTAGAATTTTCAAAGGATTTGATAGAGCTACATATTAATATTATGTGAGAAGCTTAAAGTGTCTACAGGGAATAGCTTTCCTACATGTATATTGGGATAGTATAGAATTCCAATAATTTTAGGCATTTATTATTACATAGTTTTACATACCCATAAGAAGAGGATGGCCCATAGCTAGAAGTTTCATTACTGGATGTTATCTGTAAAACAAATGTTTTTTTAAAATTCAATAGATTTTTTCTATCATAATTAAGTATGTGATTAACTGTCCCTGATATCAAAAGATACAAATGTACTTACAGTTGAAGACGAGTATGAGCTGCAGAGAAGATAAAACAAATGTTAGGATAAGGTTATTTCCAAAATAATTTTAGGGTATCTGGGTGGGGGGGTGGGGTGGGGAGGGGGAAGACAGAAGAGGGGTAGGGATGGGAGTTACCTTCTTGTATTGGTCCTCTGCCAAGTACCATCTTCATTCTTCTGCTCAATAACCAGCATCTGTAATCCAATGGAATGCTTTAGCATCGAAAATTATCAATTTCCCTCAAGGTCACAACAGATCGGGAATTCAAATAAATTTTCTTCTTAAAATATTCTAAATTTTCAATAAATGTAAAAACATATATAAAACAGTTATTCAAATTTGTTTTTGCATATATCATTTATGGATGTTAAGACTATGGCTGTTTTATTGGCCACAACCCATGGCTTCATCAAACAGAGACTTGGTCTTGATCCTCCTCCTCTTCCTAAGCCTGTACACCCCTCGTGGGGTATAGACCATCAACAACATCTGAACGCCACAGAACCCTGTCTTTGTCTTGATAATTCATGATAATCATGCTCAGCCCCATCAAATAATTGTTTACTAAGAACTCGTTACCTGGCCTTGGTAGAGGCCGACATCTTGTACAGTCTGTTCTTTATTACTAAGAAGTTCAAAGGTATTCTTCAYATATTTGTTCCATAATCTTGTCTCAGTTTCTTTGGGGATTTCAAATTTCTCTTTCATGACATCTTCAATATACTCTAAGAAATAAAAAAGTAAAAAAAACTTCTTTGCTGAACTGGTGGGTAACAATTTTCTCAGTTTTGACATACCTTTACATTTTTCTTCACATTTCACTTTCATAATAACACTTAATTTAAATCAATAGTTCTAATACCTAAAGTATCTGCTTTGCTGAACTGGTGGGTAATGACTTTCTCCATATCAGAGTTTTGACATAGCTTGAATTCAATCAGRTACACCTCAACCTTACAKTGCTTGAYGTACATGCCATACTCTACAACCTTCCTAGGGATGGGTGGTTGGTTTTCCCCTATGCCATACCAGGTTAGCAGCTTATTCCATGCTTCTTCTGGGACAAGGTTGTAGTAAAGTTCATCTATTAGGTGTTCCTTGAGGGTAAAGTTTTCATCCCCATCTTAAGAAAAAGATAGTTTAAGATTTAGAAAAAAAAAACAATAATGAAAGAAAAAAATTGTTTGAAAACCAATACCAGTGACTCTTGAAGGTAGATTGAAATTTCCAAGGGCTCTTTAAGGGTATTGTAGAGCAAGGCAAAGATAAAGTCAGAAGAAATGTAAGTGATCTTGCAAGCAGAGGAAGAGGAATCAATTCGGAACCTTTTACCATTCATCTTCATTACTGCTCTGTTTAAGACTACATTATTTTCGGCATAGAAACCCTTTTGTATTAGATCAATGGAGTAGTGGAAGAGGAATGCTGAACCTTTCACCTTTTYCCCCCACTGCTGTTCTGTTCAAAACCACATTCTTTTCCATTTAAAAAAACCCTTAGTATTAGATCAATGGACTATGATGATAARGTGGCCATCTTGTCAGAGGCAAAACAAAACAAAGATAATGGAAAATATATAGAATTTTGTGTGTTTGTATTCTATTGCAGTGAGCTGTTAATATCAATCRTCATCATTACTATAACAAAGCTTTATTTGTCCCCAGGAAACCCCATWATGCCTTGCAATCCAAGATGGCTACCATATGGTTGAAGTAGTACATTGGCACATTTCTAATGCGTTTACGACTCCTGGGTGGACGGCTTAATGGTAACAGGCCTTGCGGCCCAATTTTATTAACAAGGCAGCCGGTAGATCGAATTAGAAGTTAGAAGTTGATTTTTGTGGAGGGAGGGAGGAAAAACCAGAGAACCGAAGGAAAAACCCTYAAAGCACAGAAGAGAACCAACAAACAACTCTACTCACATACGACACCGAGACCGCAGGGCTCGAACCCGGGTTGCATTGGTGARAGGCGGCGCATTAGCAGTGCATGCCACCCACACTTCCCAAGAATTTGTAGAATTTGAGAACAAGGTTCCAACGAATGAAGTTAAATGAGAACTGCCATGGATGGACTGGAATGGGAAAATGGAACCTGATATAAATATTTACCTTTAAAAAGATTAGAGTTATCTATTGGGCCAGGGTTGTTGACTTCTTCTCCAACTTCATAAACATCCCAGCTGTCAAATCCAACATATTTCTTCCATTGYTTCAGCCAGTGACAATCAATCAAATACCTGACAAAAATCAATGACAAAGAAATTAAAAAAAAAAAAATCATCAAATTGTTAATTTTGTTATCCCCAATGAACAAAACTTGACTCGTTATATTATATCAAGGTTTTTTTTTGGGTAACTCCAGTTTTCCTCTCTTCGCAAAGCCTAACAATTCAGTCTGTGTTAACCATACATGTACCTTGACTTTGCTCAGTAATTATTATCAGGTTAGCTATGACATTGTCTTATAAAGGTTGCTGAAACGTTGCCGAAAGAGGGAAGTTTGAATTTCAAAGGAGTGGACATGGTCTGAAGTTGGTTATAACCTGGGGTAACAACACAATCATCAATAGTGCAAACTCTTTTTGAGTGCATGGCAAGATATTTTTAGCTGTCACATTAGTATTACTCTAACAAAGTCTTTAAAAAATTTAACACATATATTGATTATCCATAAACTGTTAATGTTGATTATTAGAGACTTTTAAAGCTGTAAGGTGTTAATTAAGTAGTGTGAACACTCCATCCTTGAAAAAAGCATCCATGCTTGAAATGATCGGTCATCTACGGTGTGAGTTCTTGAATGACAAATTGAATATTCTGAAAATGTTGAGGTCTAGGAGAAAACTAAATACTCTACTATCTAGTATGTCATAACGTATAACACTGACAATGATCCTAATTATTTTATCTCTCCTTCTTTTCTACTCTTTCAATTTCTTTTTTTTTTTCTCTTCTCTTTTCTTTCTTCGTTGAGTGATATTCATTGATAAGTATGCAAAAGTGAAACAAAAAGTTAGATCCTTTTTCAGAGTGGTGAGGACGGTATGAAATCCGTTTCACAGAAAATAAAATGGTCAAATCCTGTTTCACGGAATAATGATAATGRCCATTCCATGTTTCACAAAAGATAAAAAAAATTAATGAATGATTTAGAAACCTTAACTTACGAAAGCATGCATATATCTAACTGCAACCTCAGTTAAGAGGCTACAAGAAAAGTCACAGCAAAATCCACTTGTAGGAAAAAAGTAATGATTAACCTTTAAGATCATTTAACCCAAAGCTTGATAAATGTAATAAAATGTCGAAAACCGGTAAATGAATTATTTCATTTCTTCCACCCTTTCCGGTTTYGTATTCCTCAAGGCAAAAAAAACATATAGCCATGACAGAGCTAAAAATCTTTCAGAAAGCAATATTATGCTATTTTAATGCTTCTTATCGTAAAAATCCAAAGAATAAAATTTAGCTATCTTAAAAAAGCTTAGGAGAATGTCATTGAACAATTTAAATTGCACTTCCGTAAGTGACAAACTAGCCGGTATCTGCCAAGATAAAACACTTACTGCCGACCTCTAAGGATGTTAATATTCTTACCAAGTGTCCCCCTTCTTTAAGGGCTTCTTCAGCAATTCGCCTATTTCAGTTTTTTGTGTTTCTAGGTCCGGTATGGAGAGAGAATTTGTGTCATTCTCTTCTCCTTCTTCTTGTCTTGCTGCACCCGCCATCTTGGAAAATTACGTCAAGCTCTCCACACCAAGCACTCAAACGAGGCTGAAATATTTCACAAGGGAGGGGATGGTAAAACGTATTTTGTGATTGTCATTCCCCAGGGTGCTGCAGTCGGGAATTACACTGAAGACTCTTTGTCAGTCACTAAAATATCACCAATTTTTTTCTACACTTTTTCTATGTACTTATACGATTTTCAACGTCATATTCATAGGTAGGAAATATTATAATCAAAAATTCATGATCATTAGGAAGCAAAACCACCCTCGACCTCCCCTCCAAGGAATGTTAGGTTATGGTACGATCCTTTATTATCGCTAAAGTGAAACAATTTTGGCTTATTATCATCCCTTGAATTTCACTGTCATAAACAACAAGAAAGTATATAATTTCTAAGTGTAAGTTCGAGTAGAGGTTTGATTGTTGAAAATTTATTGGGTTTGATATGATTCTTTTTCCTAATCATTTGGTTTTCTTATAGTAATAATGTGTCCATAACCTATTTTTAAAAAAATCGCCGAATCAGCAGTCAGGTCTAAACAAGACGCCCAACAGGCGTTCACTGGGTTACTGTACCAAGCACAGGCCTCGTCGCAATGTTAGTCAAAAGATAGTAGAAGGGTTCACAGAAAAGAATGATTTCGTTTAACTTGTCTAAAACGATCTCCCTTAAGATGTTCTCTACATGATATTAAAATATTTGCAGGTTCTTCCCTTCAGGCCACGAAAGAAACAGTTTTGCGTTATATGCACGTCACGACTACTTGTGAATTTGATCTTGCGAAATGGCGCAACAAGATCAAATATCGTAATGTTCTCTTACAAAAGCCACCAAAATAGTGCAATAGTACCCAGAAGTCTTCACGACACCACCCACTAGTCCTTTGCGGGCATATGATAACACGGCCAAGTGCAGTAAATGTTCTTGTCATTAAACTTTGCCAGGAAATGGATAGGAAAGCATAGTTCTACTTTCGCGGATCGATATTGCTTATGTGACTGATGTCTGATCGAACTTATACTGGCTTATAAACAACCGAATAGGAATAAAAAAAATTCACTTAAAATATTGCCTTATTGTTGAAGATTTAAATCTAATAAAAAATGGATTTTAAATAAGAAAGAAACATTTCATGTGGGTAAGAAGGGATTCGAACCCACTAAAAGAAATTTTAAAAAATTTAAAAAATCGATCCCACTTTGCCATACCCCCGAGACATCCGCAGAGCTGAGGCGGCGTATGGACTTCGGACCTGACGGCGATTAAATCCTTCTGCCCTTGGGTGTACGAATTACGCAAGA